AAAGAGGATGGAGCTCAGCTGTTCTCAGTGGTGGCAGATGATAGAACAAGGAGCAATGGTCTCAAGTTGCAGTGGGGGAGGTCCAGGTTGGATATTAGGAAACACTATTTCACTAGGAGGGTGGTGAAGCACTGGAGTGCGTTACCTAGGGAGGTGGTGGAGTCTCCTTTCTTGGAGGTTTTTAAGGCCCGGCTTGACAAAGCCCTGGCTGGGATGATTTAGTTGGGAATTGGTCCTGCTTTGAGCAGGGGGTTGGACTAGATGACCTCTTGAGGTCCCTTCCAACCCTGATATTCTATGATTCTATGATTCTATGCTGAGCGGGGTGGGGCGCGGCTGGGAGGGGTTTGTAGTGTTGGGGTGCTGAACAGGGTGGGGGTGCAGCTGGGAGGGGTTGGTAGCATTGGAGTGCTGAGCGGGGGGGCATGGATGGGAGGGGGTTGTAGTGTTGGGGTGCTGAGAAGGGTGGGGGCGCGGCTGGGAGGGGATTGTAGCGTTGGGGTGCTGAGGAGGGTGGGGCACGGATAGGAGGGTTTATAGCGTTGGGGTGCTGGGTGGGGCAGGGCATGGCTGTGAGTGGGCTGGTAGCCCTGGGGCGCTGGGCGGGGTGGGGCATGGATGGGAGGAGGTTGTAGCATTGGGGTGCTGAGAAGGGTGGGGGCGCGGCTGGGAGGGGGTTGTAACGTTGGGGTGCTGAGAAGGGTGGGGGCAGGGCTGGGAGGGGGTTGTAGCTTTGGGATGCTGAGCGGGGTGGGGCGTGGCTGGGAGGGTTGTAGCGTTGGGGTGCTGAGCGGGGTTGGGGCGCAGCTGGGAGGGGTTTGTAGCTTGGGGTGCTGAGGAGGGAGGGGCACGGATGGGAGGGTTTGTAGCATTGGGGTGCTGGGCGGGGCAGGGCATGGCTATGAGTGGGCTGGTAGCCCTGGGCCTGGGGGGGGGTATGACTGTTGGGGAACTGGTAGCACTGGGGCGGGATCTTGAGAGAAGCAGAAGCCAGGCAAGTCACTTCTTTTCCTTCGGCCCCTTGAGCTCAACCTGTTCCTCTTCCTTCAGGTGTCTCTTCTGCAAACCCAGCTGGTGCTGGAGCGGAAGCACAAGCAGGACTACATCAAGTGCTGTGCAAAGACCAGCCAGGAGCTGTCAGGCCTACACCAGGAGCTCTCTCACTCCTTAGCAGCTGTGGCCAGGGAGCCCAAGGCTGCTGTTCTAGAAGCAGAAACGCGGAAGTTGGATGAATCCCTGAACCACAGCTTGGCCTTGGTGGCTCTAGGGTGGGACGGCCAATCTCCTGAGATACACCCTCTGAGTTCCACACCTAGAGCAGCCCAGAAGAATGAGTTGAGGTAGCAGGATCAGCATTCAGCAAATGGGTCACAACACGGGCAAGGTCCAACGCTACATGTGGTTTGGCAATGCCGTTTTCAAAGGTGCCATGGACAATAGACTCTTGTCCACCTTGCCGAAGAATCCTATGTGGCAGTGGAAAAGGTGGTGATTGTCTCTTCAAGAGCCATCCCTTCCGTTTTCATGGGCCAGACCTCCTCAGGGTTCAGCCTGCCTGCTGACGTGGCTCCGCCTCTCGTAGCCCCAGCCGAATACCAGTCCTTAGGAACATTGAACCACATGGTTGGTTGTGGCACATGGGAGGATGGAACCAATAAGAACATGGGTTTTCCCCCTTCTTCACAGCCTGTGTATCCTGGGGAATGTCCCCAGAGTGCAGAGACCTGCTGCAGGGAGTGAATTCAGGAGCGTGGGGTTGTGTCAAAGCTGAGACCTAGGGCAGGGGGACAATAGTGCTCGCTATGGAAACACTATAGGCAGCAGTGTTCACCATGGAAACTTTCCTGCTGGACTATGCTAGCGCATCAGAGGCTGGAGCTGGCCTGAGCAGGGCTCAGAGATTGCAGGCGAGCTGGAAAAAGCCTCTAGGGTTGACTGGCCGCAGCAGATTGGTGGAATTTTCCTTTTCTGAAGCACACGATTGTTGCCTGCCCCAGAAATGTTGCTGTTACAAAGTGCCCCCAGAGATTGCCCTCCTGCTGCCTGGAGACCTGCTCCCAAATGACGTTGTACTGTTTCCCTTTTAGTAAGAGCTCCAGCAGGAGCTGTATTTTCAGCTTTTACAATAAAGTTATTCCCTATGAAAGAGGTTTATTTTCCCTCGTTTCATCTTTTCCCTCTATCAAAAACCTCCTTCCATGTGGCTCCAGTTCTAAAAATGTCCTTGGGGCTTTCTCTTCCTGACCTGCGCTTCAGTACCGTGAGATGGGTGCTGTTCTGCAGTGGAGCTCTTCCTTGTGCAGTTTGCTTTGTGCCTGGCTGAGCTGTGAGGAAGCTGGGCAGAAGGGGATAGCCCCAGGAAATGTCTCTTCTCCTGCACATTCCCTGCCCTGCTCCCCTACGGCAGGCCAGCTGTTTGTTGCCTGTGCTGCAGGAGGGAAGCACAACACAGACACCACAAACTCAATGTGGGAAAAAGCAGCTAAGGCACCTCTGGAAAATAAACCAAAACACAGAGCTTCAAAAGGAGGTAGAGAGCTGAGGTGGAAATGGCAGATAGTGGCTGGAAACTGCCCAGACTCACTAATGCAGTTTGTAAAAGCTCTGATGAGCAGTGGCAGCAAGGCCTGGGCTCCACCTGAAAGTTACACCAGTATAACTCTTGGCTGGGAGATGATTTTTACTAAGATAGGTATACTGATACGAGCCCTAGTGTGGATGTAGTTACAGTGATGCAGTTATTGCCCTTCCTGTATGGGAACAGCTGTACAGCACCTTTATGCCAATATAACTGAGGGCACCCGTGGGCAGTGGCGTACCTTAGTATCTAGTTACAGTGGTACAGCACTCCCATGTAGCCAGGCCCCGGGGAAGACAGCTCAGTGTGGAATCCTCTTGTGTTTGGAAGATTTTTCATAACCCCTGGAGCTACAAGCTTACTCTTTAAATGAACGCTTAGATTTGATCAAAGATGATGGCCCTTGCTCTGTGGGAGCATAGTGAGCAGGTGCATTTTCTAGCAGTAGGGTGACATAATTAGATCTTTTCAGCAGAGCTTAAGGAGGTGCTAGTATAGTTTAGTTCCAGCCCCCTGTTCTGAGGCCATTCTTCTGAGGTGAATGACTTCTCAGGCTGTAGCCAAAGAATAAGTCCAAGTGTTTAGTCAAGTCTGACTGGGATGAGTTTTTCTCTTGGCCTACAAGAAATGGTATGTGCTATCTAATGCAGTATGTGTGGGACTGCCACAGGATTATATCACTTTGCTGACACCTTCCAACGAGCCCTGAAAATTGTTGTAGAAAGTCATGATGACCTATCCAAAAGATTAAGCATGGTTCCTCCCCTGTTGCTCTCGTGTGAATCAAGCAGTTCCCCAGCCTCCCTGTGAACTAGTGGGTCTGAAGGATCAAACAATGTGGGTGCAAGGTCTAACTCCTCCTGCTGTGGGGCAAGCACCACCCTCAGACTGACAGGATGAGGGAGAGACTTTCTCTGGGGAAGGACATTCCATTACTGTCCATTAGGGGGTTCTTTGCACCATCCTCTTAAGCAGTGATGCTGGCCACTGTTTGACAGGTCACTGGGCCAGATGGGCCATCGTCTGAACCAGCAGAGCAATTCCTGTGTTCCTAACAGTCCCCAGGGAGCTGCAGTCTAACACAATGAGAGACTAGATGCCCAGGAACACCTGGTTTGAGCCAAATAGGTGGGCACCGTAACAAAGGGGCTCTGGTGAGACAATTCCTCCTCCTCCCCACACCTGAAAACAAGCTGGTACCTCTCCAGAGGTTATGCACAGGGGGGACAAGGCATACTGTGACAGGCTCTGCCCACCCAAGACAACAGTGAATCAGATTCAGTTAAGGCTCTGTAAGTTAAGGTAAGGCACACTTTTTTTTAAATCAACACGTCTTAAAGTCTGGGCAATAAGTAAATGTCAATTCCTTTCTATATCAATAAATATTTCAATCCTTTCCAGCAAATTTATATTTTATTTTTATAAAATGTCATTTCCTTTAATGATACTAGCTACTGACTTACAGTATTTCCAACCTTGATGCTCAGTGGTGTTGATCAATACATGATAATACCCCCTATCTGTTATATAGCATTTTTCATCAGTAGATCTCAAAGCACTTTAGCAAGGGGGCAGTATCATTATCCCCATTTTACAGATAGAGAAACTGAGGCAAAGGATGATAAAGTGACTTAGCAAAGATCACCCAGCTAACCAGTGGCAGAACTAGGACCTGAACCCAGCTCTCCTAAGTCCTAGTCCAACCCCCTATTCACTAAGCCACTGCAGGCTGCATGGCACATGATATCAGACTGACTTCATCTCCTGGTACATTAAGGAGACTCCCACTTACAACTAAAAAACTCTGGATTCCCAATTTAGTCATGTTATCTCCTGCTGCTAGGGCCCCATGTGGTCAAAGGGTAAAATGAGCAGCATTTGGGAGACAAGGAGCAGTGAATGGCGAGGATTACTGTCCATCAGGATTGTGGAGCTGGAATTGGCTGTCACTTAGAGACAGTAGAAAATAGAGATTGGCTGATCTGACCATTAGTAGGGAAATGTCGAGCAAAAACTGGCTGAGCTAGCTGTCAATCTCAAAGGTCTGAGCAGCAATTGAATGGCTCAGCCTGCCACTGAGAGAAAGAAGCAAGGATCAAGTGGGCTGGTCTATCCTAGTGACCTCCTGTGACCCAAGAACACCTTAACGCCAACTAGCAAGAGGATTACAAGAATATCCTGCTCTTCGAGTAGTGTCCCTACAGGAGCTCCACTCAAGATGTGCTAGCCGCCCTGCACCTTTGAGTGGAGATTTTGCATAGCGGTGTCCATTCGGTCCATGAATGCATTAGTCAATTTCATGCCCCATCCTATTGTTAGATAGCACTGCATGGGTGAACAACCCCTCAGTTCCTTCTCAACCACCATGGCCTGAGACGAAGCTCTGGCAGTTGTAGTTGTAGTGTTTGTTGTAGCGTTTGTTCTCACATAGCCCATATTTCCTTTTATTCTAGCTTCTTTCCTCTCTTTAAAAATAGTTTTTCTTTCTCCTTTCTCTACACTATTTGATAGTTTTAGGTAGTTACACATTTTCTGTTTGTGAGATGATGCCTAGTTAGCCTAGCTTCAAATGCTGTTTGTCGTGGCAGAAGGCCCTCCCGGTCAGTGACGGACATTCTGGTTGTATCCGCTGCCTTTGAGGAATTGCATGTCTCTCCAAAGTGCAACTTTTGCCTGGCATTAAAAATCAAGAGCCAGGAAAAACAGAAATTAAACTTTGCCTCCTTATGATGGAGCTCTCTTTACACCTGGCCTCCAATCCAGGCCAAGGGACCCCTTCCCCCGTGTGCCAGGCCCCAAGTAAGTCTGCTGCCTCAGAGCCCCACACTTTCAGGGCACCCAAGAGGCAGATACGGGATTCCTCTCACAAACCCTCGAAGAAAAGTGCCCCAACTTCACCAGATAGAGACTCTACCCTGACACCAGCAGCTCTCCAGTCAGGTACTGATGAGGCTTCCAGTTCCTCCCATACCCAGGGCACAGCTAGCGCAAGGCTTTGGCCCCAGAGCAAAACTCAGTACCATCATCAGATCAAAGCACCAAAAAGAGCTCTTCCGCTGCTCCCTCGGCATTGAAGACGCCTGCTCACGCTCTGATTGCGCCTCCCTTGGAGGGTGTGAAGCACTCAACTTCATCAAAGACTGCACTACTGTAAACACCCGCGGCCACAACTACTTCAGCACAGTCATCAGCATTGGTACCGATGCCCACAGGAGTTCTGTTTTCCTCAGGACCTGACTGGATCAGAGACTCCCAACTGACCATTCGTCGGCTCCGACGTGCTTTCAGTACCAATGACATCTAGATAACCAGAGATGTGCCCGGTACCAATTCGTTCACCTCAGATGTCTCCAGGCACTCCACTGTTCCTGAGGGAACCAGAGGAAGAGGATTCTGTGTGGATCTCACCTCAGTTCCCCAAGTGTCAGGCCAGGGCTCTCCTCCTCACTTCTGCAGCCATCCCTTCCCCAAGCCTTCGGCTGGAGATGTTTGTTTAAATAAAATTCTTTATTCAAAGAAAAAAAGGAGGGGAAACCTCAACATTAAGGTAAAGGTAATATTAACAAAAAGTCAATGTCTTATTTGGGTTTCTATAAACTTGTTTGCACTTTTAAATATAGTTATAAGAATATCATAGCAAAAATGTTTAAAAATAACAATTTATGCATAAAGCTAACCAAACAATTTCATCAGGTTTCCACCTTTGGCTCCCAAACACAACAAAGCATTGTGCAAATTTAATACCCTTAAAGTGTTTGCATAGACTTGCATTTAACATTTATTTTGGTTTAATTTTATACACTTTTCTTTTATGTTATAGGGAAATAGTGGTTATTAAAGCTTGTGCTTCTAAACAGTTTATAAAATGGAATTGGTATTACAACCAAATTAACTCTAAAAATCTTGGTAAAAAATCTGTTATTAACTCTTTTGCTAAACCAGAGTGCTCAGCAAGGGAAAGCAATTCACCTTCTCATAGAAGATTGTGAGCATCTATTCTAGCTGTTAAGCATTACATTTAGTATAAAATATTAGTAATGCAGCTCATGTAAAAATGAATGTCTATACAACAATTGCAAAAGTATAGCTTGTGATATAAAAAACTTGGTCCCTATTACATTGTAAACACACTTCATTAATCTGTGTATGAAATTTGAGTTTCTAGAAACAAAAACCATGTAAAACAAAGAAACAAAAAACTTTATTATGTTAACTAACTTAAGCTGTTTAAGGTTACATCCCACAGACCAAAGATACCAGAAAATATCACAACACAAAGACACCAGAAGATCTCAGTAGACAGGAAGTCTCAAGCATCAAGAAAAGAAAAATGAAGTGCCTTATAAATAAAAAACTGGTCAAATACACCTCAATCTACCATCTATGGACAGTTAAGTTGGCAATCAGCTAGAAATCACCGTCAGTTAATTTGAACTTGGCCACTATGTAAAAGCAACTGTAGTATTGCTGTATTATATTATTGCCATACATCATTTACAATGTGCATAACATGGCTAAACTGTTTAACCAACACACAGGTAAAAATCAACAAACAAATGGCAGCAAACAAC